TTTATGACACTATGTTTGCACTGAAGCACCGCAGCAATTTCCTAATGTTGTAAACCTGCTCAACATTTGGCAATAAACCCCTTTCTGATTCTGATTCTAAATACTGATAAGGCAGAGTTGATGGTCATTGGGCCACACAAATTTCATCACTTGTCCCAAAATTTCATCTTGAAAATTGATGACAGTGTCTTAAATTGCAGGAACAAGGTAAAAAACTTGGGTGTGTGGTTCGACATGGTGCTCTCCTTTGAAACTCATGTAAAAGAGATAACAAAATCCGTCTTTTATCATTTGAGGAACATAGCCAGAATCAGACAAGTTTTGTCAAGCGACACTGCAGAGGTCTTCCCGTATTGATTATTGCAATGCTCTTCTTTCTGGCCTACCAAAGAAAAAGTTTTAGAAGTCTACAGATGGTGCAAAATGCTCGCATTTCAATAGGAACGGGGAAATTTGAGCACATTACCCCTGTTCTGAGATCTCTGCATTGGCTACCTTGTCAGGTTCGTGCAGATTTTAAGGTCCTGCTCTCACCTACAAGGCTTTAAACGGATCGGCACCTACATACCTCTCCAACCTTTTACACCTTTATGTTCCATCTCGTGCTCTACGATCTCAGGACTCTGGCCTTCTAAAAGTTCCTAGAGCCAGAAAAAAGACAATTGGAGAGCGTGCTTTTTCTTTTCGTGCCCCATTTCTTTGGAACAACCTCCCTCAAGATATTCGGCAGGCATGCTCTGTGGAGGTTTTTAAAACTAAGTCGAAGACACATTTGTTCACCCGATCCTACATGTCTTAATTCTATGGCTTTTAGTTTTTAATTTTTCATTGTTTTTAACTTGTATTGTGTCTTTTACCTGTATTGCTATGTATCACTTTCATTTTATTTATCTCTTTAGTTGTACAGCACTTTGTTTGAAAGCACTTTATAAATAAAGTTATTATTATTATTATTAACAGGAGACAGCTCTGCAGCAGCTGTGTGATTGTATCGTGTCAATATGAACTAAAATCTCTGAGGAAACTTTCCAGCTCCTTGTTCACATTTTCCTCATAGAATATAAAGTTTACTTGCACTTGCTAATATTATGATGCATACAAGCATTATGAGAGCTGCATTACATAGAAAATAATAATTTATTATATGTTTTTATGTGAAAGAAGGAAAATAGGATAAAGTGAATTACCTACAATTAGAGGATTCTGGTGTGAGGGTTCTTTTTTTTTTCTTTGCTTGATTTTTTTTGCAGAATTGCACATATGGTTGAAAAGTCTTGAATGCTTTGTGTTCATTTAATTTTTAGAGTTTCTAATAAATTGCTTGCACCTGACCTGACAACACTGTACAGTCTTGAGCATAAAACCTGTTTTGATATGTTATCGTGAAATCAGAGGTTCTGAATTTAGTTTGAAAACCAGCTTTGGGGTTCAGAGTTTTGAGAAAAGGACAGAAACTTTCCAGAAATGTGTCTTAGATTTTGAAAAGCGAAAATCAGATTCTCTCTAAATAAAAAGCACGAGGAACACCAAGTTCTTTGAAGTAGGAAAATATGTTACAAAATCTTTAACTGGTCTTTTATTGACAGGAATAGTTATTGAAGCAAGTGGGTGTTCACCCACTCCGGACCAGGTTATGTCTGCAGCATATGCTACCATGGTTATATACACTGATTTTCATCAAGGATCACCTCTGAAGTTACTCAAAGCCCACTTTCTGGCAGAGGCCTCTGTGTGTGTGATTGACTTTTGCCTGTATAAATGTGTTTTAGTGAGTGAGAGCTTCCTTAGAGATTTGCAAGAAGGTAAAATGAGACCTGCAAAATGCATCAAACTGGATGAAAACATTTAAGGTTTCATGATATGAGTGACTGATTACATAAGATAGATCAGACAAAGGAAGCATTTTTAAACTACTGCAGGATGATAGTCTGAACCCGACAGTGTTGCTGATCTGTCTCTGCCTCTCTATCAGTGCTCTCTGAGGACTGGGATCGTGTTCACACTGAGGACGAGCTCTTCAGGAGTTTGTTTAGAGGCTACAGCAAGTGGACTCGACCGGCGAAGAACGTCACAGACGTGGTCATCGTCAAGTTTGGCCTGTCCATCGCCCAGCTTATAGATGTGGTAGGAAATTTAACCATACCTTCAAAACTTTAAAAACTATTCCCCCTTTCTGTTTTGTGCCATTGCACCTACTAGGGCGTTAGATGCATGGCTCACTCGCTGTGTCCACTTCATTTACAAAAAACAGGATGAGAAAAATCAGATGATGACAACCAACGTGTGGCTGAAACAGGTGGGTGAAAACAAAAACTGGGTCTGAAAGTTAATTAAATGTAATTCAAATGTGTTTTGTGTCCTAAAATGACATAAAAATGTGTATTCATTGAAAGGAATGGACGGATTACAAGCTGCGGTGGAGTCCTTCTGATTTCAACAATGTGACGTCCATCAGAGTCCCTTCTGAGCTCATCTGGGTGCCCGACATTGTGCTGTACAACAAGTAAAAACCACACGCATGATTCACGAGTCCACCCTTCTCCTCGTCCTCCTTCATCCTGTCAAACTCATCTTAAAATTCACTGAGAGTAGAGAAGCAATGACATCAGTCTATCCCAGGAGGCCAGGATTTGGGGGCTTAGCAAGGTAACCCCAGGTTAAACCCAGGGCTTTCAGCGTTACAGTGGTGCTCTTTACATCTTACCAGATTGCATCGCCACGGTAACTTGTGCTGCACGCCTAACCTTCTTAGGCACAAGTTATGTTTGAAATAAGAGGCTTGCAAGTGCAACACCACCTTCTACTGACCGGTAAGTTCTCTGGAGGACAGCATGTCTATTCCTTAAAGTGTCCTCTAACCTCAATGAGCAGATAACAGAGTAAACATTTTGAGAGGCAGCCTATGATCCTAAAAAATCCAAATACAGTTTTTCCCCCTCATTTCTTTATATTCTATTGGGAAAACAGAGTACTGAGCAACACATAAATACTTAAATATTTTTCACTAATAACAAATAGTATTTCTGCTTCTGGTGCCTAAATAATTATTTCTTGTTATTTCTTTAAATAGTCTTCAGGAATAGTTCTCCAGGCTTCTTGAAGGACATTCAAAGCTCTTCTTTGGATGTTTCTGCCTTTTGTTCTGTTCTCTGTCAACATGATCCCACACTGCTTCAATAATGTTGAGGTCCGGGCTCTGAGGAGGCCAATCCATGACTGATAGTGTTCCACTGTGTCTTTTTCTATCCAGGTATGATTTTGCTGCACTGGCAGTGTGTTTGGGATCATTATCATGCTGAAAATGAAAAATGTTATAATAATAATAATGGATTGGATTTATATAGCGCTTTTCAAGGCACCCAAAGCGCTTTACAATGCCATTATTCATTCACTCTCACATTCACACACTGGTGGAGGCAGCTACAGTTGTAGCCACAGCTGCCCTGGGGCAGACTGACAGAAGCGAGGCTGCCATATCGCGCCATCGGCCCCTCTGGCCAACACCAGTAGGCGGTAAGGTAAAGTGTCTTGCCCAGTTACCTGTTATCAGTTAAACATTTTCCAAATGGTATTATGTGGTAGATCAAAGTCTGAAGGTACTTTTCTGAGTTCATAATTCATTCATTTTGACAAGATCCCCAACACCACTGGCTGAAATGCAGCCTGAAACCATGACAGAGCCTCCACCGTGTTTTAGAGATGCCTGTAAACCTCTCTTGTTGTACCTCTCTCCTCACCTCCTATGTATGTATGTACTGATGATGAACCAAAGCAGAACCAAACATTTCAAATTCATCACTCCTGAAGACCGTTTGCCACAGTTCTTGTTTAATTTTCATACCTCAGCGTTTTCTCCCTGCTTTCCTTCATTAAGAATGGCTTCTGACAGCCACACTTCCACCGAGACCATTTCTGATGAGGATTTAGTGAACAGTAGATGGATCAGTTGAAGGCCCTGGTGCATCTCTCAGGTCCTGTGTCAGGTCTTTGCTGGATTTTTTTTTCCTGTTACTTAAAGACATGACTTTCAGATAGTGTTCATCTGCTGAAAATATGTCTGTATTGTATTTTTCGGGTCAACTAAAGAAATGGATGTGTTTTTGTGAAAGGCTGTTAGTAGCAAAGTGCCTAACGATTTAGTACAGCCCATAATCTTAATTTAGGACATTTTTTGTATATAAAAACATATTCCCTCTGTGCAACGCACCAACATCATAAGAAACAGACTGAAGGTTTAAAACAAATAAATGAATTACATGCTCTGTGCCACTTCTCAGCCATGCAGATTATTTGTCGTTATGATTTGTGGGATGGTATTATCTCCTTTAACAACAGGTGTTCCAGATTATCCTCTCCTAAAGATAATAAAGGAAGAATTGAAGCATTGTCCTTCGTATTTACAGAGGTCGACCTGTTCTTACGACGCTTCCCATGCAGATATTTGCAGATATTTCAGGATCATTTCACTCAGTTTGAACCTTCCTGAAAAACTTGACTATTCAGCTACAACCCTTGAGTTTTCAACCACCATCATGTGACCCCTATCCAAAGAGCAAATAAGCCAGATAAAGATCTCTATAAACCCTGCAAAAACATCTGGGGGTAAATAAGGATTATTAACTCTTATTTTATTTGGATTTAAAATATTGAGTCACGCTCACAGCAGATGCTCAAGGACACACATACTGTTCCTGAACAGAGACGACTTTCTGTAGGTGGACCTGGAAATTATCTGTAGTGATCAATTAGCTGCTTGATCCATAACACAGTCCTCCTTCATTGAAGAGCGAAAGAGGAGTTGAGGTCACTTACATGGAGACAAACAGCTCCATGGTATTTTCTGCATTTTCCTGCATATCAATTGGCGATGCATGCAAATTATGCTGTTGAATAAATGACCCTGATTCTGTTGCGGATGCACGGCGATGTTGCATCACACAGTTTTAGTTGAGTTTCCAGCCCTCGGGGCTCGGGGGAGTATTAAAATTGGTCTGGATGGAGATGAAACTCTCTCCGCTTTCAGTGAAAATGAGCTTGCATCGGTGTCATTTACATTCAGCTATCAATTATTAAGCATAGCTCGTGTAAATGGGCATAGCTCCAGGTTTATTGATTCACCTTCTGAGTTTAAAAACTAATGAAATTAAAACTTTTTACCCTCTTTTCTTGTTAAAGTGCTGACGGGGAGTTCGCTGTCACCCACATGACCAAGGCACAGCTGTTTTACACCGGTCGTATCCGCTGGGTACCGCCCGCCATCTACAAATCCTCCTGCTCCATCGACGTCACCTTCTTCCCCTTTGACCAGCAGAGCTGCAAGATGAAGTTTGGATCCTGGACGTATGACCGTGCCAAGATCGACCTGGAGCCCTTTGAGAACACCGTGGACCTGAAGGTGGGAACACGTGGGTGGAGGTTGCTCTGCTTCCCCTCCCCCTCCACATTCCTCCCTCATACTCTCTTATGATTTCCTTCCTAACACCTCCTGCACCTCTTTACCTCCTCTTATCGGCTCTTCACATGTGTTTTGTTTTACAGAAGAATGCCCGCCAAACTCTCAGGCTGCTAACATTTTAATTAACAAAGTATTTCCCAGCGTCATGTTTCACTGCAGTAATAGGTTCTGGAAAAATTCACAGAATAGTGAAAAAAGAAAAACCCCAAATCCTGGGGAGATTTCTGAGTTGTAAAATGTGGCAGGTTTCTTTAACTCTTTACCCCTTGGACACCTACTAGGAGAGGGGTGGCCAACTCCAGGCCTCGAGAGCCAGTGTCCTGCAGGTTTTAGATGTCACCCCGGGTCAGCACACCTGAATCAAATGATTAGTTCATTACCAGGCTTCTGGAGAACTTCAAGAAATGTTGAGGAGGTCATTTAGACATTTCAATCAGCTGTGTTGGATCAAGGATACATCTAAAATCTGCAGGACACCGGATCTCGAGGCCTGGAGTTGGCCACCCCTATACTAGGAGGAACCCTTGAAGCTCTTTTCTGAACTTGGATTTAAAACATGGAAACTATTATAATGGCCTGCAAACTACATCTTAACTGATATACTGAGGTGTTAAAAGGTGTCATTATGGCTACAGGGGAGGTCATGAAATGTTGTCTTTATAGGGGAAAGAGTTAATATGGTGTGATTTTGAAGCACAGAATGCAGAAGTAAGTTTGTTTCTTCAGTTTGACTCCACATGTCTGCATTTGAGATCTCTATCCTGCAACACTTGGAGAGTACGCTGTAACAAAAGGCAGCACTATTTATACAGACAGATACACAAAGGGGTAATCAGGGGCATGAGGCACAGAGGGGAAAACAGGAACAGATAACATGAATGTGACAGGAAAAGTAAAACTAACTGCAACACACAGGAGACAAATGACTACCAAAATAAAAGAGGAAAGAACAATAATCATTGTGGGGGATTATTCTCTCCAGTATCTTCATGACTTGTAAGGTCAGCGCAGCTGGCCTGTGGTCATTGGAAGTAGTTGGGTGAGATGTTTTTGTGGACAGGGACAAGACAGAATGTCCTTGAGAGAGTCAGGACCTTATGCAGTTTAAAACTCTGGTTCCTGATAAGACACAGCTGAGCAGCACAACTTTGGGGCTGATGCCATCAGGACCAGCCACTCTGCCAGAGTAGAGTCAAGATAACTCTTTCCTGACTTTTTCAGTTGAGAGGGACATGGAGGTGCAAGCTGTAGGTGCAAAGACAAGGGAAGGGGACAATGTTCATGAGATGAACTGTATGCTGGGTAAGGATGACCAGCAGGGGGAGGTGTGTCAAGCCAAGTGAAGTTTAAGTTGTTGGTACTCTTCTCATTCCACTCCAGCACTAAGTCCCTGCTTTGTTTGGGTCCTGTGAAGATTCTCAGTCCAACCCCTCCTTGTTGTTATTCTGTTATTTCCTGGCTTTCTCCTGTAACAGGCTTTCCCCCTGCTGCTTTAACTTTAAACTTCCTCTGCACAATGTCAGTGTGGCTAAAAAGAGTCTGACTTTTAGGGCTACTGGGAGAGTGGAGAATGGGCAATTGTCAACGCTGTAGGAACCTACAATACCAAGAAATACGACTGCTGTCACGAGATCTACCCCGACATCACTTACTACTTCGTGATCCGCCGCCTGCCGTTGTTCTACACCATCAACCTCATCATCCCCTGCCTTCTCATCTCCTGCCTGACCGTCCTGGTCTTCTACCTGCCATCAGACTGCGGCGAGAAGATCACGCTGTGCATCTCCGTGCTGCTGTCGCTCACTGTCTTCCTGCTGCTCATCACCGAGATCATCCCATCCACATCGCTAGTCATCCCGCTGATTGGGGAGTACCTGCTCTTCACTATGATCTTTGTCACGCTGTCAATCATCATCACCGTGTTTGTTTTGAATGTGCACCACCGATCATCAGAGACTCACACCATGCCCCGGTGGGTTCGGAGGCTTTTCCTGTCTGTGGTGCCGCGCTGGCTCTGCATGAAGCGCCCGCATCATGGACTCAGGCCTGCAAGGTGAGAAAGCCTCTATGACCATTAGAGGCACTGCAGGTTTTTACATGGTCATAAATAGCTTAGTGTAGTTGACTTCTACGTGGTCAAATGTGTATGAGTTGAAGTTTAGGATTGGCTAATTCAATCCAATTAATTAGCTCTCGACTGAGTTAGTGCGGTAATCCACACAGGAAACCACAAAATCTCTGCACAGGTTTATTGTTTTCATTATATGCTTGAACCATTTGGCTGATTTTAATACACATTGCAGAGAGATAACATAGCAGCCCCAACATACATTCACAGCCTCCAAACAAACTTCTTTTTGTTGTTTAATTATGGTTGGCAGACAGCTTCTAGGCATTTTACCACCACCTATTGGCAGTAGAAGTATATTGATAATTTGAGGTAGTGGTAAAAATAAGGGAAATATATAATTTAAGGTGACAGATAGTTGTAATCATTAGTTTTTCTGTTTTATATTTTCACAATGTTTTGCTTGTCGTTACAATGTCATTGTAATTTTTCTACAAACCCATCTACCTTTCTTAGGCAACACCACCTGAGCGATAAACTCCTCCCTCTCCAGACTCCGGGGCCCTCCCACAGCATCTGGATCACTCAGGAGTCTGATGTGGATGCTGGAGATGAAATTAACCACTGGGACTTTCATGGTTACTCAAACATGGAGCATTTGGAGAGGTTTGGGTCCCCATCTTGTCTTTCTGCTCGGTCTCTGGGCTATACACTCCTACCACAGACACGGTCCACTGTCAGCTTAGAGTGGGATAGCCCTGTGGAGTGTGGTTCGACCCAGAACCAGTGGGACTCTTCTTTGTCTCCTGCTGTCATATCCGCCCTGGAGGGAGTAACGTACATCGCTGAACACCTAAGAGCAGAAGATGCAGACTTTTCGGCAAGTATTGGATTTTTTTGGTTATAGATTTGTGGTCAAAAGTTTGCATCAGGGGTGTCAAACATAAGACAGCCTGGGTTTTATATATTTCTCCAAGTTTACTGGCTCATTTTTGGTTTTATGTCTTCTCTCAGGTGAAGGAGGACTGGAAGTATGTGGCCATGGTCGTAGACCGGATCTTCCTGTGGATGTTCATCATAGTGTGTCTGCTGGGGACCGTTGGACTCTTTCTGCCTCCGTGGCTCTCTGGGATGATTTAAAACCAAGACTAGATGTTAAAAACACTAATATATTATATACAAAAGTGGAAGAGCATGGTTAACTTTTAAATTTGTTGCAACAGACGAGTCTAGGAAACTTATTTCATGGAGGACAAAAAGTACAAAAATTAATAATAAAGAGAAATTAATTATTAATGCAAATATTTATAAAATGAAATGGCCTTGATGTATAAAATGGAATATACTTATGTTAATTAATAATAAATATTATAATCTGCTTTATTTATTCTCCATTGTATCTGTAATTTTCTTCACTCTCACATCTGCGTATGTGGTTCTGTTTGTCTGTCTGTCTGGTTGTTTACAGTTTTTCAATTTTGTGTGATGGTAGATAACAAAAACAACTTGAGCTAAATTACATTTTAGTGAAATCTGGTGAAAGTCACACTGAATGTGAAAATCAGTAAAAACATTATATTACCCACAATTCTTTTTGTTGATCGTCTACAAAATTCACAATAATATACTCAGTGTTGGGAAAGTTAGTTTTAAAATGTATTCCACTACAGAATACATGCCTCAAAATGTATTTTGTAACATGTTACGTTACTCAATGAGAGTAATGTATTATGAATATTTTGGATTATTACTATATTATCATGCTTTTTACAACTACATGAATGTACTATTGCTGTGTGATTCATTACTATTACTGAAGGTTACTCGCCATACCAATAGCAACTAGATTTTAAAATCTGAATATAAAATGAGTGACAGTAGGGTGGACATTATATTCATCCATCTCTCTGTGCCGGGCCGTTGTGTCAGCATGGTGTTGCAGGAATTGCCGTCTTGTGTGTGACTGGGTGCAGTAAGGAGTGTATGTGATGTGTGTGTGAGCATGCGCGTGAAGGAAACGCGGGGAGCGAAAGAGAAAAATAGAGAGAGTGTGTCATGGGTAGAGAGGGCGACCGGGAGCAGCGTTCTAACGGGCTACAGGCTATGCAGTGTGTTGTCGAAGTGTGCAGTACTGTTATTAAAGCCTCATCTCTTCAGTACTCTCCGGTGCCTCGGCTGATTTCTGTCTGTCTCACTACTCCACAAAAGTGAAGGGAGTTAACCCCGAAGGAGGACAAACTTCGGCCCTGGAGGAAGCATCTCCCCTCGCGTCTCCCGACCACGGTCAGGGGACTGACGGCGAGGAATGGTTAACAATGGTATAAAATCACAGCGATCACTCAGTAGCACTTACACCCACAACAATGAAACGCTTTGAAAGACATGATCACAGAACCTCCGTTGTACCCCGTCACCCCATCACAAACCGTTCCACTGATAACGCTGTATCCACTCCTCTTCGATTAACCCTGGAAGACCTGGAGAAGGAAAATGCACAGGTCTGAAAGGTCTTTGTTGACTTCAGCTCAGCCTTCAACACGATAATCCCTCAGCATCTGATCACCAAACTAGGCCGAGTTGGACTGAATCACCCCCTTGGAAAAATGGACACTGGTCTTTCAGACGGATAGACCTCAATTTGAGCAGAGAGTACATAAGAAATCAAGCACCGTTTCATTATGTACAGGCTCTACAAAGGGTCACGAATCCCCCGTTTTCACCATGATGACCCACCTCTGTGGTGAAAAGTTCAGTAATCACTACATCACAAATTACGTGGATGACACAACAGTGGAACATCTCATCAAAGACAGCAATGACAGAGACTTTTTGCAGAATGGAACCTGTTTTTTTTTTTTTTTTTTTTTTTTTTAATCTGGTGTTCAAAAGCAGCCCATGCACAGCCCGATCTACATAACTGACATTGCTGTGGAGATAGTCGAGTATGTGACCAACAATCTAACCAGGAGCCTGCACATCTCCTCACCAGCTCCTGCATTTTCCTCAGAGGTTAAAAATAACTCATCTTAACCCATCTGTCATCACCACTTTCTACTGAGGCACCACATAGAATGTGCAGCACACTGTCTGTGTCTCTGTGGTATGAGAGTAACGGTGTCTCAGACAGAAAGGCAGATTGCTGAGAAGATTGTTGGGGTCTTACTGCCACCTGTTGGGGGCTTAGTGCAACAACGCTGCCTGACAAGGCCAAAAAGGATCACGAGGGACATTGCTCATCCCGGTCACAGACTATTCTCCTCCCTTCAGGCAAAAAGTATCACAGCCTGGAAATCAGATCATAAATAGATGGAAAATACAATAGCTGAGCACACGTAAGCCATACAGATTGTTTTCGTG